AACAGCAGTCATTTAATTAGAATTTTTCTAGATTTTTCCTTCAATTTTTCTATATTTTTTACAGTCTGTTACAATGTAGCAATCCACAACCGGAAGAGAAGTGAAAGTTTTCCTTTAGAACAAAGAAGCGGTTTGACCGCAGCCATTTTTTTCTTTAAGTTTCACTTTCAACTTAAACATTACAGAAGATGTCTTTAAATAATTGTGTGGTTTTATATTTGGATGATATTTTAATTTACTCTGAGAATGAGGCTCAGCACATGGACCACATGTGCACAGTCCTCAGTAGACTAAGAGATAATCATCTCTTTGCCAAGCCAGAAAAATATGCCTTTGATTTACAACAGCTAGAGGCATCTAAATGGACTTCCAGAAAGTTCAAGCTATGCTAGACTAGCAACTGACTGCATAGCCAAAGATATCCAATGCTTCCTGGGCTTTGCTAACTTCTACAGGAAATTTGTACCAGGCTTTGCTCATAAAGCCAAACCACTGACCCAGCTGACAAAGACAGGAATTAAATTCATTTGGATCTCTACACACTAATCAGCCTTCAAAGAGTTAAAGCAGATCTTTGCTAGCGAACACCTCTTTCAGCACCCAGGCATATCAAAGAAATTTATTGTCCAGATCAATGTCTCAGATGTTGCCATTGGAGCTGTTCCTTTATAGGTGGGAGAGACAAAAGACAGCCATGCCTCTTGCAATGCACATTCTTTTCCAGAGCTCTGTCTGCCCCACAACACAATTATGACATGTTTAACAAAGAATTCCTTGCTGTTAAATCAGCATTCCAACACTGGAAACACTTCCTAGAAGGTGCACATTTTCCTATAGAGGTCAACACTGACCACAGGAATCTACATACCCTGCCACTATCACCTAGACAAATCAGATGGAGTCAATTCTTCTCATGTTTTGATTTCTACATTAAATGCATCCCAGTTTCCAAGAACTTAATGCCAGATGCATTCTCTCACAAACCAGAATATTCTATTATTCAACAGTTCCCATAACCAACAACAATCCTACAATCTTCCAATTTCCAGATTCATCAATCACTACCAACCGTTGAGAGGTTGGGAGCCACCCAATTGCACCAGGGCTTACTCATAAGAATAAAGACACAGCCCAACTTTTGCTAGACCACATCTTTTGCTACCGTGGCATGGTCTCAGCACTTGTGTCAGACAGAGGCATGCAATTCCAATCTAAAATTTGGAAAGCACTTTTCAGCTACTAAATGTCAAGGTCAACTTCTCCTCAGTTCATCACCTTGCCATGAATGGAAAGGCCAGTATTTCACCAAGTATTACTTTCCAAAGATGCTGCCCTAAGCACAATAAGATCCCAGCAACACTCTCCAATGCCAGTCATAGCAGAGAGAGAACCAGAATATGAGGTGGAAGAAATCTTAGACATTAAAAAAAGAGGAAAAGGCATCCAGTACTTGATTAATTGGAAAGGCTACATGGTTGCAGATCACTCCTGGGAAAATGCAGTTTGTTCATGCCCTTGATTTAATTTGTCATTTCCTCCAGCACTTCCCTGACTAGCCATGGCGAACCAAATTACCAGCACTCTGCCAAATTTCATCACAGAAACTTGTTGAGGAAGATGTTAACCAGTCCCTCTGCATTCCTCCAGGGGGAGGAGGGAGACTCGCCTTCCACATCTGGCCTTCAATTCCTGAGAAAGGAAGGGGAGGGACCCTCTAACGATGTTTGTGTGTTACAACAACCACCACCTAGCTCACCAGCTCCTGGAGAAGAGTGGGAGGAGTAGTCCTTTGAAACTGCCTCCCTTCCACCCTTGCCAATTTTGCATGAGAACTCAGACTTATGAGGGAAAAGCAGCATAAATGAACCCATGGAAGAGGAGAGGGGCCAATATGGAGGGATGGGTGATATAGCAGATGACCAGGCTGAGCCCAAAGGAGGGGGTCAAATGCCTCATCCGTCAAGAGTCCCTGCATGCCCATAAGAGATTTTAGTCCAGCCACCTTGAATTCCTTTGACTCTTATCTACCACCAATTCACTTTGACTATTAGTAGCTCAGATTCTTGTAGAGAGCTTAAGCTTGCAATAAATCTTTATACTCATTTGAACTGCCTGAATCTCCTAATTTCTCCCAGCCCTTGACAACAACTATGGTAAAGCATAATGTGTAAAGCCAGTCAATTTAGTTTGTATATCATAATTCATAATTCAGCATTATGTCTATACCAGGGCATTAAAGTTTGGAAACTTAACTATGGTTAAAATAGCCTTATCTTATTATTGGTTACATAACAATAATCAACTGTAAAAAGCAAGTTGCCACTGAAAGCTCAAGAGCAAAGGAAGTAATTTTTGCCTAATTAGTTATTATTACCAGTTAAATTTATATACGGTAGTATCTTTAATAGCTAGAAATCATATATAACTAAAAAAAACCCTTCTGTATCTGAAAGGGAAACATCACATTTGAATGAAAACTGCTTTCCTTCCAGACTTATTTTTTTAAAGATCAGGTAAAATCTCAATTCTTTGGGAATTTTAAAAATTGGCAAATATGCAAATTATCAGTTAAAATCTGGCTGCATTTTATTAAGTACTGTACCTAAACCCAAATAATAACCCTTAATTGAAGGATCTTCAGTTCTAAGTTGCTAAAGCAATCAGGCGAGATATGGTTGTGTTTTGCTTGGTTATACTGTGCATACAGTGCAGAAGTTGGGACGTGAGGTTTTGCTACAAGAAGCCTAACAAATTTAACTTTGGAAACTACAGGCTTTAAAAAATAAAAAATTCTCACCTGTACTCAGTAGAAATATAGGATCTGCCACCATTACCGGAACTGTAACATGAAGAAAGCAACTGAGCAAATAACAACTTACTCATGCATGACCTTTACCCACTTATCCCAACCTACAGCAAATAGCGCAAGAACTCATGGAAGACAAAGATAACTTCCTTGGAAACACTTTTAGCCTGGCAGACACTAGACACTGGCTCAATCAGTTTTTCATGGAAAAAAAAGGATCGCATGTATATTCACTATGGAGCAGGAGGTTAGCACAGTTTGCAGTTACCATGTAAAATAGAGGCGTGTGATATCCATGGACCTTAAATTCTACTGCTTATATAAATCTTGCACTGTTAAACAACAAAGCAGATCATAATCAATTCGTTGTTATAATGGATATAATGGGATAGTTTCTAATTGAAAATGTGACTTAGCCATACTTTCCTGAGTTTGTGGTATAATATAAAAATGTAGTTCCCCTGCCCTCTTGCACAACTTGGATTAACATTTAAGGCATCTTAATCTTTATTTGATCCACATTTGAAAAGCTAAGGAATCTATTGCAAATAGGACCAAAAAGTTGAAAAGGTTTTGGAAAATGAGTGGGTTAAGATCTTATGGATTTTAAGATCCAAACAGATAGCACTTTATTTGTAACATGCCTGATATAATAATTATTGAAAAGAAAAAAAAATCTGCTTCATTGATGTTTCTGTTCCTGGTGATACTAGGATTGAGGAGAAGCAATTGTGTAAAAGTAAGAAATACCAGGGCTTGCAAATTGAAGTTGGGTGCTTATGGAAAAAAATCCAATTGTGATTGGAACCCTCAGAGTGATACCTAAAGGACTATCTTGATATTTGAAAATATGGAATTTATCAGTATTTCAGTTCTGAACACCCTAATTTTACAAGAGTCACCCTGTCTGGAACTGCCTATATTCTTAGATGCTACCTCAATAATTCTTAGGTTCTTGGTTAAGATCTGAATTATTAAGTTTCCATCTTAGACTGTAATCTACAGTTAGACGTAGAATATAACAATAGATTACGCACATATAATAATAGTCCTTGCAATACCTGGGAACAGTGGAATAGAAAGAAAATTGTGGGACCAAGAAAAAGTTATGGCTCCCTGTTAATAGAATATCACTCCACCAGAGATAAGACTGACTCCCATCTTCTTACTTTTCTGGAATGCTTTGAAAACATGGACTGTCAGCTGGATCTCAAGCTGAAACAGCCAGTCAAGTGGCTAGTGTGACTGCATCTGCTGCCCCTGGCTGGGGTGGATTTTTAGTTGCTTTAAGCGTGTCTGAATCACTGTGAGTGGTCATATAAATTTTAAAAATGAAATAAATAAGTAAGTAAATAAATAAGTAAATAAATAAATAAATAATAATAATAATAATAATAATAAAAAAAGCTGGATAAAATTACAAAATACAAAGATACAGTATATTGTAATAGAAATAGAATAACTGCAAATAGAAATAGAACGGTGACAAAAAAATGCAAAAGTGATACCAAAATTAATAAGCGCATAGGATGCAATTCCAAAGAATCTAGAACACCACATGAACATCATCAGTATTGACACAATCACTATCAGTCAGTTGCAAAAGGCAAGTTGTTTGGAACAGCTTACATCCTGTGATGATACATTTAATATTATTAAACAATATCTACCTATCCCAGGTCTTTGGAAAGGACTCAATAGGTGGGAAAAATGCCAAAGTCAGTGTAAACATCTGGTGGATTATGCAATCTACCATAGCATGAATGTGTATATGCTGCTTCCAGACATTTTGGGTACCTTACAATTGTTAAAACACCTAAAAAAAAGAACAGTAGAATGTTTTAATTTATTTTCAGTGTTTTTCCAACAGTTTCTGTTGTACTCCACTTTTTATGCAAGCACCATAACTTCATTATTATCAGAGAAACTTCCTGGATGTTACTAAGCCCACTGTCAACACAGCCCCTTTGTAAAATTCATAACATTAAAAAAAAGAGACATGAAATATGGCAGTGAGGAAGCTTAGGAATTTTGCCTTAGCAACAGCTCCCTCATAACAGCGGCCTTCTCTGAAGCAAAACATCTGCTTTTAAAAAGAGGATTAGTCGGTGAACTCTGATCATTTTTTACTCCTAAAACAAAAGAGGGACTAAAACAAACCTCTTGCCTCTTTTCAGATCTTTAACAAAAGTAAATGGAAATGCACCCAAATGTAGCTGAAGAATCAACCCCCCCCCCAAGGAAAAGGCTTCACCTAGAGGCAATGGGGGTGCACACTAAAATAGTTCTTCCCTTTACCTGGGAATATTGTACTGGAGGAGGCCACACCGCTTCACTTGCCAAGAGCTCTTCCAAGCAAGTTCTTTCGAAGGTAAGACAGGCCCCTTGTCTGCTAGTACAACTCTTCAGCCTTCTTGTTAAGTCCTGCCTACATTCCTGAGCAAGATAAAACTGAACGGATGCCAGATGGACAGAGGCGAGCTTTGAAAGTGGGCTGGCCATGCATGGAGGATTTGGGGTGGGTGCTTTCAGCTGACATGTGTTCAACCTTCCTTGCAGAAGAAAATAACTGCAGTATGCCCAAGAATGAAATATACTGTGGTCTGTCTAATAAATATTATAAGTAGCATTTCACAAACTTTTCTATATCACAGCCCCCCTAAAATGGTATATGAATTTGTGTGACTCCCTCGCAAATAATGATTTCACTGATGATAGGGTTGGAAAAGAGATATAAGCAAATTTTATTTAGTAAACTTTATATCTCAGAGGGCTCCCAAACTTTGTCATAAAACTGCCCATTGCAGTTTTGCAATGGCAAAATGAAGAGCAGAAGCTAGAATGAAAGTTGATTGTGCTCCCATTCTGCCTGCTCAAGTCTGATCTCTCTTCTTTTGTGCCCCCCCCCCCGATGGAGAACCTTGCCACTAGTAGTCCACAAGAAAAGACATGTTACAATTAGCAAGTTGATGAAGCCTCATTCCATTTTGATGCCACTTCCTCATTTTGACTGTATCTTAATGCTTTTCTTAGTGCTTGGCAACTTTGAGACCCGTGGACTTCTACTCCCAGGATTCCCCAGCTGAGCATGCTTTATTGAAGAGTTATTATTGTATATCTGTTTACTGGATAGCTGTTTACTTTAGGAGAAGTCATAATGGAACAAAAACCTCCAGCTGTAACAACCATTTTAAAAACAAGTTTTGTATAGGAGATAAAAGAAGTACTATATTCACTATTTTTTATTATCTAATTAAGGCATCTGGGTCTCAAATTTAGCTTCCTAAGAAGTACTTAGGATTAAACTATATTAGGGAAAGAATCCAATTATATTTGATGATGTTTATCAGAGGCATAGTTGCTTGCATTATATCACAAATTACTACTTAAACACACACACACACACACACACACACACACACACACACACGCCACAGAATTAATTGTACCATCAATCCTAGGCTAAAGTAGAGCCTTCTAGGAAAGAATAATGAGTATAGATAGCTGTCTCGTGGTTTTTCAAATTTTCTAATTTATGTAAAAGAATTCTTGGGTAGTTGTAACCGGAGGTAAAAATTAATGCTAAAGATACTGAAGACCTGGACAACATACTAGATCTTCCAGCTTCATTACCCACTAAAAAGCCTGGATACAGTGCCTCCCTCTCTCCATCAAGAAGTACTGTTATAATAAAACAGGAGAGAGAAATTCTCTCCAAAATAGTTTATGGTGTTTTAAAAATGTGTGTTTGCCATCCATTTGTCAGCAGAATAACTTTCTGCGTGCATTTGCTACCTTGATTTTCTTTTCAGCCCAATGGAATGTTGAAAGAAATCATATAAAGGAAGACGTTGGAATTCTTTCTGTCCCGGGCTGGCTTTAGGCTAAAGCTACGTAGATACTGCCCTAGTTTAATGGGGAAAAAATGCTAACCCCTCCAAATAATTCTAAAAGAACGAATCTTCACATCAGCAGGTGGCAGTGCCATCAGTCAATGTGGCCTATATACCCTTGAACTATTACGGTCTTTGCCTTTTAGCAGAATAATTCTCTGAAAACTGATCAGAGTAAGAGGTACAAAAGAATGTCTAAAAATGGGCGAACTTGGAGGAGTAGAGAAAAAAAGTTCCAGCTAAAATTCCCATTGCATCCCTGCGGGAGAGGCACTAGGAAACAGCTGTAGGCACACCAAGCTCTCTGAGCAGCTTCCAACCAGGGAGCATGCAGTGTTTGAGAGGTCAGGTGCTGCAACCTGACCTCTCAATCTTTTGAAGGGCTACAACTTTTGGGCATTTTGCCAACCATTGTTGGTGATGTAACTGTTGGGTTCTACAGTTCATGGGATGCCCTCCTTCATTGTAAACATATATGTGATTATATATTGCCCAAGGATCAGATACACAAATAAGTTGAATTCCTCTTTATTTATCTCAAAGTGCAAGTTATCTTACGTCAGATAATTTACACATATATTGGAACAAGCAATGATACACAGAAATTAATACAACAAATCTGAATTCTGTATTACAATGCCAATACTGTGATCATGTATTAGTACTGTGACATTTTATGTCTTGCAATCAATAAAGTGGGGTCAGAGCAACCAATGTTAACCAAATGAAAGTCTGACTCTCTTCAAGCCCATCTCACATTTTCAACAATATTTCATTAAAGAAAAGCCTCCTCAAGATTCAAAATATATTAATCGGTATACTATTTCCCTCAACTCCTTCAAAACTAGCAGTATTGCTTGAAAAATAATTACTTTGGTTGAAAAATAAATCTTTAGATTCACTCACAAAGCCTCCCCCTTTCCCCAAACTTTACACAAACTAAATCACATAGTCAACAAAAGTGTTGAAAATCACGGATGCAGAATACCGTGCCAGGCAATTAGCCCATTACTTGTCCAACAGGGTTTCCTCACCCATGTTTCCAACCTACAAAAACAAACTTTTTGAATCCAGCGGAGAAGATTTGATTGCTTGCCAAATGTTTCTCAGTCAGCTTCATTGTCCCTATCTTTGGCTCTAGCCAGTGACACCTCTTTTCTTACAGCTACAGGAGTTGTTCTCACATTGAAGCCACTCCATTGTACAGCTCTATGTCTAGCTTTCTGGGAATATGTAACTGGTCTGACTAAGGATCTGCTCCATAATCTGATTCTGGAAAAACATGTACATCGCTATATTTCCTTCTTCGTCTTGTGGCCTCAATAAAGTTGGCCCAAAAACAATTGCAATACTCTGCAGAGACATGCGGTTCTTCTCCCGGAACTCTATAACCCTGGGGGGGGGGAAAAAAGGAAGAACACCTTGAAGCTATAAGAACAATTCTGCCATGCCACCAGAAATAAGTGGACTTAAGTTCTAATTTCTTTTGGCTGGATTTAATTTTATCACTTACAGTACTTTTATGATGTACTAGTACTCTTCTATAAAGATGGTTGCTACCCACTTGCCCTTTTGTGCCCATCGGACTGCTTAAGTTTCATTGAATATTATTTCTTTCAAGTAACACAGCACTGAAAGTGTCATCAACTAAATTTCTACAGTGGGGCAATCAAGCAGGCAGATAGGGAACCAGGTGGGATCTGCTTCCTAGTGGGAACTTAAAGAAAGGAAGACCAAAAGGCAAAGAAAACTGTCATAAGGGTCTAGTTGGAAGAGACTGTGGCTGAAGCAATACATTTACAAAGGATCTATGGTCACAGGGCTGCTTTTATTGTAAAGTTAGTATTTTAACAGCCTAAACTGACTAAAAGATCTGGTAAATGATGTTGCTCACCTGGAAAGATGCTGGAAGAGAACCCTCGTGGTATTGAAATTAGCAGGAGGTAGAGAATAGACAATCTCTCGTAAGTCATGCCTTCGCTTTGTGGGGTCTATAGTTTCTGTAGTCCCCCCCCCCAAAAAGGAGATTTTAATCATTTTGTTCTTTATATATAAATAATTTTAAAAAGTAACAGATTACCTGGAGTTTTTCCACTGTTATTTTTCACTGCGATGGAAACACAGGACACCATACCATTTATATACTTTCTTACCCTGCTCTTTCCACAGCAGTCAAGAGTAAAAGGAGGGGTGGGGAAGGTGCATATCAGACCAGAAGTCACATTCTCCTAATATGATTTTTTTTTTACAAAGAAAGGCTGTGCCAAGCCTGGTTTGCTACGTGCCATGACTCCTCAGATTTCAAAAAAGAGTATATTATTCATATGTGGTCTCTATGTGTTTATGATGAAGTGCCCATTCTATTTTGCTTTTGCTTGTGTCCATGTTTTTAACTCTATATTTTTTCTTTTTTCTCACAACTTTCTTAGTTCACTAAAAACATTATTATGTGAAATCACAGCTGACAGTTCTTTAGCTGTGTTGGCCTTCATATGCATCAAGTTCTTTCTAAGGATCAAGTTCTTTCTAAGAACCTAGGAAGTTATAATATATATCTGTGTGGATCCCAGTAAAATGGCCTTTTGTAATTGACAGATGGAAATTTTGTCAATGTGCAGATTTTTCATGCGCTGTCCAAGATTTTTTGGTATGGCATCCAATGTGACAATAACCAACTGGGACCATCAGATATTGATATTTGTGGTTATCGTTACCTGTATTGATATTGTCACAAGGCAGGAAAAGGCAATCTGTGTTACTTTTCCCAAACAGAGCTCTAATGGGATCTTATTAATCATCTCCTTTGCAATTTGCTGATAAAAATGAACTTTTTATTTGTAACACTGTTATTTGAAGGAAGCTCCTTAAATTATTTATCATTTATTTATTTGTACCCTGCCTTTATTATTTTTAGAAATAACTCAAGGCAGCAGACATATCCAACACATCTTCCTCCTTCTATTTTCCCCATAACAACAACCCTGTGAGGTGGGCTGGGCTGAAGGAGAGCCCAAAGTTACCCAGCTGACTTTCATGGCTAAGGCAATAGTTGACCTCACGGTCTTCTGCTTTCTATCCTGCGGCTTAACTTCTGGACAAAACTGGCTCTATATACTAAAAACTTAGACTGGGTTTAAATATTATAATCCACAGAAATGTACTCAATTTATTTTTAGTTCTTTTTGTTTTGACCTGGCCGTGCCCAGGTTTAATGTTACTCTCTGTCTGCCAACTACCTAACCACAATTTAGAAAGAGTTAAGTGTGATCTTCAGTTGCTACAAGTTTCTCTATCTCTGCTTTAAATGATAAATAAGCAACGGGAAAGAATGGGCAGAATAAAAATAGACCTGTATCTTCTACTATCAATCTAGGTAATTTGCTAGATTGACACAATTTCTAACTTCCAATTGTTTCAACAAGAGAAACAACTGAAATATAGATAACCTGGAAAAAGAATTTTTATATGCAGAATATTAAGATCACCTTTCTGAACTCAAAATTCTAGTTCTGGAAGTATTAGTTCACCTTAGGCATGAAGCCAGCTGATAATTTTGAGGTAGTCACTAGGAGAAAAGAAGTAGTAAGTCACTTTTGAAATTGTTGCCATGAAAATGTCATGTATTAGTCCAGGCAGTCATCAGGAGTCAAGACTAACTAACCCCTCCCCCCCAAATTTTGTCCTATTATGATTTCTGGATCTCAGGTATTCAGTAAAAACATTCTATGTATATGTTAAAGTCTGACCACATCTTAGTTATGGGAGATAATGTCTTACAATCAGAAAATCTATGACTTTGACATTCAAAGTTAGCCACTAAATAATCCTTTTATTCTTCCCAAGAATAAAATATTGTCTTACTAGCAGCAGCAATTAATCTGTCAAAATAGCTGAAGGGGAAGAGCGGTTCAGGCAGTTCACGGAAGAAGAGTTTGAGTGCCCCAGTGATGACATGAACATCATCCCAACGGCCACCATCAAGATCCAAATGCTCATCTGCAAAATTAATGAAAATTACAATATACACAATCCCATCCCATGTCCCATAGCACTGAAGATAAAGATAATGATAGCAATGCAGCTATAGCTGATTTTTAGACCAACATTTATTCACAATCCTTGGACCAGAGAACAATACAGTAATATTTGCTCCAGAACCATGCTGAAGAAGAAAAGGTGACTCCCTCAAAAGTGAGTGCAGAGTGCACTTAGTTTCCATGGCTATGGAATTCTGGCAATTGAAGTCTACACATCTTAAAGTTGCTATGTTTCAAAAAGACTGAGCTAAATATTCCTTACCTTGCTTTATCTAGTGTGTGCTATGACATGGGAAAGTGGCTCCAAGGGAGAAGCTCAGTCAACTAGGTTGATTCCCGACTCCTTGACTGCTTCTCCATGCATCCTAGTATGTCCATGTGGGTTCTGGACAGTAGGATGGGAAACATTTCTTTCATGCTAGAATATCATGCATGATATTCTATTAGGCATTTTGACAAAGATGTTGATACCAACATTCCTGGACAGTGTCCAGGTTTCAGGAAGCCTCATATACATCTCAAAATTATTCACAGACATGAACAAACCTGAAATCTTCTACAGGCAATGGACATTATGCCTCACTAAGCAATCCCATTTACAAGTCACAGTGGCTTACCATGGTCAACTTTGTAGCGCAATTTTTGTATTGTGGCCAGGTTACCGCTTATACGATAAAGTCCATCAATATCCAAACCTGAGAGACAGAAAAATTGCAGCTATTGTCTGTATCTCCACAAGAGAAAAATAGATGCAAAATAAGGGCCTTTTCTCACACTTTTCATTTCTTTTGCTTCAGTACCAAAAACAACTTAACAGAACTTTTTATGAGTCACAAAACAAAATGAAGGACTCAGAATGTAAATGTTATGGAAATTCTGATCAAGTTGCATAATGGATGCACATCACTGAATTGAAGATGTGGACTGTTTGGGCTCAGTTTTTCAATTTAGGTGAAATGTAGAGTATTCTGTACCTCTTTTCTCCACGGTGGCAATGCACTGCCTGACGAAGTGAGGCACTGTACTCTTTTCACGGTCACAAAGAACTTGAAGAGCACATCCAAACACCTGATCTGAATTTAAACAACAACAACACAAAAAAACCCATATCAATTCAGGCAAGAAAGATGGATCGCATTATTTTCTAAATTAATTTCCTTCCAATTAGAGGGCAGTACTGCCCTGGCAAGTGGTGGTTGAGCCCCTTATAACTTAAATGTTAAAAGTATTTAAAATGGCTACAATTATGCAGCAAATGATGAGCCAACTGTGGGCCTAAGTGGCACTCCAAGATCATTTTTTAAACAGCATTCTTTCTCTCCAGGGAATATACCTTTAATGTAGCCTCGGTCTCTCAGATATTGTAGAGATGGACGCTTCAGCAGAAATTTCCTGAGCACATTGCGGATTTTGTTGGAATCACTGTCAGAACTGTGAGAGTGCCAGAAAACTGCAAAGGGATAACTGGCATTAGAATACTCATATAGGGAGTGGAGCATTGTTTTAAAGGTATGCTGAAACTTTTCCTGATCTTTCAGAGGGAAAAAAAAGCAGCAGAAAGAGAAAATATAAGTTTCTCCATCAAGGTTATTTTAGAGGCTTTTTACACATGCTACTAGTTCACTTGTTTTGAAAATAAGTCTTTTGGGATGATGTGTAGTCTTTTAGCTGAAATAATAAAATCAATTCACAAACGTCTTTCTACTGGTTTCTATTCTGTACTGCTATCAAGAATACTATGAAATACATTCATGAAATCAGTAGAAATGAAGCTCAACTTGAAGAAGAATTCACCTTTACAAATATTCAAACATTAATATATAAAGGAAAGAGAATATGAAAGGAAATAAAGAGTTTCTACTGTCAGGCATGGAAAACTAGTATTTTTTAAAATATTATAATTACTATTATACTACAAATGCCATTAGTCATATTTATTTTAGTTATATGCCACCCTTCCAGGAGCCTTATCAATATGGGGATCTTCTATGTAAATATCCTTCCTTTCCTGAGCAAGCAGAGCAATCAAAACTTGCAGGGATCCAGACTATCCAGAAGATAATGCTCGCAATCTGGTAAGGCACTCTTCCTTAAACTCTGTGCCCTTCAGGGGTATAGAGCCAGACCTTCTATATATCCCCACCCATTTAGAGGAAAATAGGTTGGAAAATAACAGAATTTGCTCTATTATGTGTTTATTTTAATTTTCATTGGATTGTTTTTTTTTATTCATATGCAAACCTCCTTCACAACTTGTAAAGAAACACACCCCTTTTCAATATATGTGGCTTAGTGTACTATAGTTTTAGCCTCCTCCTTAGCTTTTTTCACACTGCAGCCTTCAGCTGCTGATCTGTATATAAATTAGTTGGAAATTAAAGTGGCTTACACAATTCCTTTCTGGATTTCAACAACATTTCCCCCCTTGGTCACACTAATAGTCAGATGTTCTGTCTCCTACTTCTTTTCCCTTCCCATTCATGAAAGCAAATGGCAACTGCTTTCGTTTTTGTTGCCATATCTTCTGTAGACTGAAGAAAATTTTACAACAGTCCTTCCTGTCATTTGGACTTGAAACAGAAATTTAGTTCAAATCTTTGTCAATTTGCCTAGTTAAAAGAAAAAATATTACAAAACAGGCCAGCGTTTTGCCATTTCTCCATCAAATCCCTTAAAAACAAGACAAAACAAAGAAACAGCCTGTATTGGGGTTTTCATTGGTGAAACTTGAACATTGTTTGTCAGAACAAAAACAAAGGTCCTCTGTTGAAAAAAAATCCAACAAATTCTAATTCAGCAGCAACCTTTAATTTTATGGTGAAAAAAAAATCCGGGTTACTAAATCCTTTTTAAGTATTTTAGGTAAAAGAGGGATTAACAAATCCTAATCCTGAAAAACTATTATGTATCTATGGATAAGTATGACCATGGTATTGTTGAACTAGTTAATCTGCAAACATATGTGATGTTTCCATTTTCATTTTCATCACACATTGTATCACTGTTGTCAACTCAGATCACATACATTTGCCAATGAACAGAGCACAAACCTGGATGCTTTTTTTCACTTTCTTTCTCTTTGTTCCCTCCTGTTTGTTCCTTGGATTTTACAGCTGCTGAATTATCATCATTCTCTTCCAAAGGGAAATCTATAGACTGAAAGAAAGAAATACAGAACAATTATTGTCATCCCTGCCCAAAAGCTAGAACAACTATGAAATCCTAATATTGCCAGTTCCCCTGGCAATTGATAAATATTCCACTTTTCCCTCCGTTTTTCCTTTTTTTGGGGGATAGACAATAATGGTAGTAGTAACAAATATCGAAGGTTTACAAATGAAAATGAATGTCATCTGGATGCTCCTATAAAATCCCATGAATGAGGCAGAGCAATGGCAGAAAAAAAGCATCACTTTGTGTGCAAAAACCACAAAGAAAGTTTGAGTGCATGTTAAGTTCAATGACAAGTTTTGCATACATTTATGTCATACCAGCTTGCTCATTGCTGAAGAGAAAGGGAAACTTTCTACCAGTTGCCATCCCTTCTCCTTTTATCTGAGCTCATGAAGAAGAAAGTTTTTAAAACAACATTACATTTGTAGGACTTAAAGCTCAGGAATTGCTGTATTTCCCCACCAGAATGCTCAACTATTTTTTTTTAAAAAAAAAGAATTTTCTAGCAGAAAGAAAATACTTGTACCGCATTGGAATAAGGAAACATTTATTTAAAAAAATAATCCTTCTTCTGATGTTCTTACATGCCCCTGATCTGCAAGAAATTTATTTACATTCAGGAACCACAACATAAAAAAATAACCCAGAGATTTTAACTCTACCATATTGTATGTTAGGAATAAGAAATATGTATCCTTCCAGATTCTGCTGATAATCAATTCCCAGCAATGCCTAGCACAGCCAATGATGAGAACTCCTGTAGTTTAGTAATCTCTGAAAAGGCTAAATATAGAACCATAACAAAGCATCTACGTATATCTTTATGTTTTGAGAGTTTAAGTGAAGATGGTTTGTACATACCGTCCTGATGGCTCCTACCCTGTGCTATACAGTATATGAAAAAGATTCCTGGTTCATTTGGGATAGCATAGATTCAGTAACAAGAGACGTACCAGTCTGCCAATTCTATTATTAATTGCATTGTGCCACATGCTGGCAATGGATTCCGAATCATGTTGGATCAAATACTCTGAGCCATCCCGTGTCTTCAGCTACAACAGAGCAAGCATTTGTATGTAATACCTGGGTAAAAGTTGTTCTCCACAAACATTGAAAATTGCTCTAATTTACCAAACTGCACTTGCAAGTCTTCATTGGTTTTTAGAATTATTTTATGAGTGACTTAGAATAAAGCACATTGCATTCACATAATAGTAATCCATATCAAGAAATAACTAAACTGATTCTTTAACAGCAGGCTAGCTCTGACAAAAGATAGGGTGCTTTGGAGACCCTCCCCCATCATAACTATAGGTATAGGAGTTGGTTGCCTATTATCCCTTATCATTTTTCTCCAAACAGCATAAGATACATTTTAATTTTGCCACATATAGCAGAGATAGTCCAGGGAAGAGGGTCATTTCTTTCCTTCTCTCTAAACTCTGGGGTACTTGGCAATAATGACCATTTTTCTTACCTCCAAGACATTCTTCCTACTTGATCTATCTTTGTGGGCCCAGGAAAGAGATGCTCCATGAAGATTCACTCTAAACTCTGGACTACTTAGCACAGAGGGATGTTTCTAAATGTGCAAAGAAGAAAAGTAGAAGTAACACAGATGTTCAGATTGGACCATTACTCACTGATCTCCCATCTTCCTTTATCACATTATATCTATCCAGTATACAAATTATAATACAAATTTCCATTTATTCTGCTATGACTAATATATCTTGCTTCCACAGAAATCCAGATTGTTGGCCAAAGTATGCTGTGTGAGTAAGATTTTAATTATGCATGCATATTCCTAATCAATTGGTGTGAATATAAATGAAAACAGAAAAGTTTCTAATTTAAAGTAAGGTTTAGAGATGTCTGCAGAGGCAACTATCTCCATCATTGTGTCCTCCATAAATGTTAAACTAATACTTCATCACACAGCTAACATTACCAATGGCAAGGCTGGGAATGATAAGGAAAAATTGCATCCCAACTAACCTATTAATTTTATAAGAGAGGAACCAGTAACCTTTTTTGGCATAGTTTATGAAAAACATTTATCCTATTGTTCCAACAAAGTGCTTAAGGAAGCAAGGAACAGACTTAAAGACAAAAAGAGACATCATTTAAAAGATCAAATAAAGTTTAGCAAATAAGTAGCGGAGCATACTGCAGTAACAACTTGCAGGGCTTCCAAAAAAGAGAAAAAACAATGAACCAAATGCATAAAATAAGGGACGGGGGCAAAATGAAGAAAAGATTTCTTCTGAAATTCCACATAAGGACGACTCATATGGAATTTATCATCATCTAATTAAGTTTTATCCAATAAAGAGGCAAGAAAGAGAACTTCAAAGCAATTTGGTATTTTTTTAAAGTTATTTTATATACAGTATAATTGTCCAAGTCTTCCTCATACTAATTTTGCTTTACTTTTAATGCTGTACCATATTTTTTTTTTTTTTTTTTTCAATATAGAATTTTATTGTTTTTATCATAAAAGAAAAAATACATCACAAGTATTACACAATGATTTATCCCATCCCCCCACCCCCCGGACTTCCCAAACCAAACCTAGGCTAACATTCAACTACAAGTAAACAAATATTAATATCTCTAACTCCAAACTCTAAACTTAAACAATCCATCT